GACGACGGTCAACAACGTGATCAAGGTGTGGGACATCCACAAGCAGCGCATCACAGACATCTTCGCACCGCCTCGCCCGCCAGCTGCCGCTCATCTCAGTGTTGGCGGTGGCGGTGATGATGATGTTCGTGCCCGCACAATGTCTGAGTTGTCAACCGCCACCACCACGTCCTCATCAGCAGCAACAGCAATGGCTGCAAGTGCACCGGGAGATGTGCTGAAGGACATGCTTGGGGAAGCGCCCGCAGTGGACGACATTGCCCCACCGGTCACTGCGCAGGAGTTTTACGGCCGCGAAATGCAGCGGCAGCTCAAGCAGACAAACCAACGCGTGGACGTGGCTCGCCTCTGGAGCAGACTCCCAGCAGCACAGCGCGCACCGTTCCTTCGCAGGTACGTGTATCTGTGTCTGTGTGTGTGTGTGTGTGTGTGTGTGTGTGTGTGTGTCTGTGTGTGTGTGTGTGTGTATGTGTGTGTGTGTGTGTGTGTGTCTGTGTGTGTGTGTCTTGTCTGTTGGTTCCCTGCTGTCTGCATCAACACAAGGGTTTGGCAGCTTCACCCAATCCGACCAATCCCCCGCCTCACATCCACCTTGTGGTTTGCACTTTCACAGCGCGAAGGAGGACTTGATTCGATATCAGAAAGCGCTCGACGCCTCGCTCGCAGGCCATCCCGACCTGACGGCCCCGAATCAGGTGCAGCCACAAAAGTGGGGAGGAGAGATAGGAGGGAGTTGTGTTCTCTTGCTGACTCACTCGCTCACTCACTCGCCCACTCACACACTCGCCCACTCACCCACTCACTCACTCACTCACTCACTCACTCACTCACTCACTCACTCACTCACTCACTCACACACACACACTCACTCACTCACTCACGCACGCACTTACTCACACACTCACTCACGCACGCACTCACTCACACACACACACACACACACTCACTCACTCACTCACTCACGCACGCACTTACTCACACACTCACTCACGCACGCACCCACACACTCACTCACTCACTCACACACTCACTCACTCACTCACTCACTCACTCACTCACTCACTCACACACACACACATGTGCAGCCGCGTCGGGTGATGTTCAACCCCGAAGGCAGCCCGCTCGTGTTCACATCAGGCAGCGACTGCAGAATACACTACTGGGACACCGTCAACCCCTATTTCTCGCTCGAGATGCCGCAGGGATCACAAGGTGTGTCTCCGACGCATGTCGCTCGTTTGCGGGGGCTGTGCAATACTTTCTTGAGTCATTCATATTGCTGTGTCATATTTCTCGCTGCATCATCATCACCGAACCTCAAACACACACACACACACACACACACACACACACACACACACACAACAAAAAAAAAAAAAAAAAAAACACCACAGCGTCATCTGCGGCGTCGAGTGCCCAGCAGCGCTCGCAGTTCCAGCACGAAGAGCGGGATGGCGTCAATTTCACGCGTGCACGCGACGATGAAGACATTGCCCCGCCTCAGCCCCACTCACGCCCAGGCCCTTTCCCACACAACGTGAGTATCACGTTCACAGCGCATTGTTCACGGTTTCTATTTGTGCGCTGATGTGACGATCGCCCTCGCCCCACTCCCACGATGTCAACACCTCACCCCTTGTGACTCCCCTTTCCCTCCACTATCCCAACCTCAACCACACAGGCTGCGCATCGTGATGCCATTACGGCCTTTGCTGTCGCCCGCGCTCCAAACCACGTCCTCATCAGTGCAGACAGAGAGGGTGTGATCAAAGTATGGAAATAGCGGCCGTGCAAGTCACACACTGACACAAGGTACATCCTGCACCGCAGCTCTTGCACTCGTTCTCGTCGTTGATGTTGCTGTTCTGTGCACACGTGTCCAGCCCGTCTTTGCATGCGCCCTTTTGTGAGCGTTGCTTTGTGTGCACACACCAACCTTTCCCCTCCTCCTTTTCCCCTCTCTTGCCTCCCCCCTCTCTTCTTTCCTCCGACGTTTTGAACCGCGATGACTGTTGGTTTGCTCTTGTGTTCCTCTGTATACTGTTCCGTGCTCGAATTGAACCAGCGAGCGAAGTGCCAAAGCAAATACACGAACGAAACCTTGCTTTCTCCACAGCACTGACACAAATGCAACTATGTACAATGAAACTACACAAGATTTTCTGTTCTCTGGTTTGAAGCACACGCATCTAGCACACGCGTTCAACATAAACAGCCAACTGACCCACACACGCCTTGCATGCACCCATCCACCTCTCACACGCTCACCTCACACAATCACTCTGGCGTCGCGCCAAGCAGACTCTGCAAATGCTCGCGCAATGCAAGATTTTCCTCCATGAGTGTGCTGACGTTCATCACATGCTGCCGTTGAGAAGTGTTGCCTGCAGGCACGGAACCGTGGCGGGCGCTCGGAGGTTGGAAGGGGTTTTTGGCAGCGTGGCCATGTGCAGGTCTTGCAACACCATCAGCACGACCAGGAAGGTGTGGCGACAACGCGGACGAGGATGGCGTTGATGAGGATGATGAGGATGATGAGGATGATGACAGCTTGAGGGACGTGGCAAACGAAGGCTGCACAAACAGCGACTCGCTTTGCACACCTGCAACGAGAGAGAACCCCACACAGACACAACAAAGGTGAGGTTGCAATTGAAACCATAGACGGCACTTGAGTCAGAACAAACGAAACCATGAGACCTCAAACACCTAGCGCTTCAGACACCAACAACCAAGTCAGGCATAACCACCTCACGTGTGCACACACACACACACACTCACTCACTCACACACACACTCACTCACTCACTCACTCACTCACTCACTCACTCACTCACAATACGGCAAGGGAACACACCTCTTTTCCTGCTTGCAACGTTTGTGCGGTCTTGAAGGGCAGTGCTGCGGGCAGATTTGACCTGCGACACACTTGCGTCGTTCTTTGCATGCTGGCGCGTGTGATGGCGCTGCTGTGAAAACTGACTGCTGGACACATCCTTGGCTGCTGCGCCACCATGGTGCGAGTGCCGTTCTTGTTGCTCATGCTGCTGTTGTTGCCGCTTCCCTGTGCGCTGACATGATACTCCGTCATCCTCCGTCAGCCCGGCTGCCTCTGCTGTCTCCACCGCGACCATGTGCATGGACTGCAACTCCTCGCACATGCTGATCAGCTCCCGGCCAACATCCTTCTGCAGCCGACTCAGCACGTCTGTTTGCTGTTCCAAATCAGCCGCCACCTGCTCCCGCCGCGTCGACAGCGCCAGCAGTTGCTCGTCGCCATCACCACCCCGCGTGGCCGGGGCGCCAGTCCCTGGTTTCCGCTTCTCAATCGCCATGCTGCGTTGAAGGTTGGACAGAATGCTGCTGGTTTGCTGAAGAACACGCACGCACCGCGCCAACTTGTTGCAGCGCCCGCTCAGCCGCTCACGCACACGCATGAGGCGCAGGTGCGACGCCTGGTGCTGGCCCACCATCGTATCCAGCACATGCAAGCGACGGTGCTGCTTCTCCAAGTGCGTGCGACACGCGCCCAGCGCGCCTTCAAGCTGCTCTTTCTCCTGCAGCAGCGTGTGAATGGACTGCATCAGAAGCGTCTGCCTCTCCACCAAGCCAACCTCAGACACATGAGACGCCGCCGGCTGCTGCTGCTGCTGCTGCTGTTGAAGGCGACGGTGGGGATGCGGGTGTTTGTGCTGACCTGCACCAGCGGCACCAGTACTCGTCAAGTGTTCCCCCGCAACGCCTGCCGTGCTTGTCGTCGTTCCCGCCGTGGGCACAGAAGCCGTAGTGGAGGGCATGGTAGCGGAGGATATGTCACCGCTCATATGCGTCGTTCGTGTGAGGGCGGCCCGCATCTCCTCTGCCAGCGCGCGTGCGTGCGCTTCCGCATGCTTGGACTGCTGTAACGCCGACTGCAGCTGCACCAGCTGCTTCTCCTTCTCCTTGAGGGAGGACTGCGCCTTGTCGCACCCTTCCTTGGCGTGCTTGTACAGCGCAGCAAAGGAGTCCCGGTCCGCATTCGCCGCCGCCAACGCCTCGTGCACGTGTCGCACTTCAACGGTTTTGCTCTTCAGATCGGACGTCGTGTCCCGCAGTGACCTGGCCAAGTGGTCCACCTCGCCGCCGGCGTGCTCTGCCTTGCGCTTATGCCGCGCCACACGTGCCTCCAACTCCCGCACGGCCTTTCGCTCCGTCCGCAGCTCTTCCTCGGCAGCCTGCTTTGCAGTCAGCAGCCTGTTCCTCTCCTCCCGGTAGCGCGCCTGCCGCTGCTCTGCCGAGCGCAACGCACGCCGCGTCTCCTCAAGCTCCATCGTCACGCGATCAAAGGCGTTGGAAGTGCTGCCATCACGGCGCTCCCGAGCCGCATACACGGCTCGATCACCATCTGCTCTCTGATGTTGCTGTTGCTGTTGGTGCTGGTGCTGGTGCTGGTGGTGCTGGTGCTGGTGCTGGTGCTCTTGTTCGTTTTGTTGTTGTTGCTGCTGCTGTTGTTGTTCCTTTGAGGATATGGCGGTGGCAAGTGCACGCTGCAGATCGGCACACCAGTGCGCGTGTGTGCTTAAGCGTGCACAGAGGATGGTGAGTTTGTTGAAGTTTTCCTTGCTACGGCCAGGTGTGGCACGTCCAGCACCACCACCACTGCCGCTACTCCTGTCATTGCTGGTGCCGCTCATGTGAGCATGGCTGGTGGGCAGGGCTGGCAGCGAGGGCGGCAGAGGAACGCGTGCATTGTCAAACGCCTGGCACGAACGCTGAAGATGCTCGCACACATCATGCAAATGTGTATCCAGGTCCTCCACCTGTGCGCACACGTCCGACACAGTGCTGTCATGCACCTCCGCCTCCTCCGCTGCATCTGCCGCTCGCTGCTGCAGCAACTGCACTTGATCCTGCAGCCGCTGCGTCTCGTGTGTGAGCTCGCCCTTCTCCACCCGCAGTTGCTCGCATTCGCGCCTGGCCTGATCCAGCGCACGCTGAAGCTCCTGTGCACGGGTGTGGTCTGCCTCGTGCATGGAATACTGCTGCTGCGCTCGTTGCTCCTCCTTGGCGTGGTCCTGCTGCTGCTGCTCGTGCAGCGTGGCCAGCTGGCTTTCCAGAGCATCACACCGCTCCTGCGTGCGTGTGTGCTGGGAGCTCAGGCGCTGCTTCTCTTGCTCGACACTGGCCAGCTGCCGCTGCAGTGACGCCAGCTGTGCCTGCAGGTCGCCGACGTGTTGGCCCAACCGCTTGCTGCGTGTGCGCTCCTCCTCCAGCTCACGAGCACGCGTGGTCATCTGCGCAGTCCACTGCGCAGCTTGCTGTTGCGTGTGCTGCATGGCTTCACCGCGCGCTTGCGCAAGGTCGTGCCGCAATGCATGCACGTGTGATTCCACATCAGACACCACGCGTTGCAGCTCGTCTTCACCCTGCTGCCCTGCTGCTTTTGCTGCTTTTGCTGCTGTAGCCGCTGTTGGAGTTTCTGTCTCGCCCTGGCCCAGCGCAGATTTCAGCCGCGCAACTGCATGGTGCACTTGACGCTGCAGCTCTGAATTTGAGGTCGACAGCCGCTGCATGTCGGCTTCCATGCGCTCGCACCCTTGCAGCGCCGTGTCTCGCTCGACACGCATCTCCTCCAGCTCGGCTTCAAGCTCAGAGATGCGGGTGACGTTCGCATCAAACGTGCGCTGTGCGTCAGTTACAATTGCCCGCAGTCGCGTGACCTCCGCCACAGCCTGGCGTCTCTCGTCCTCGCGCTGGCGCGCTTCCTCCTCACTCAACTCAAGTTGCCGCTGCTGGTGCTCTTGTTGTTGCTGCTGGCGATGGTAGTCTAACAGCTGCTGTTGCAGACGCTGTAGCTCTTGCTCCTGCTCGGCGCTGGTCTCTGTGAGGCGGGCTGCTTCCTGCTTCGCTGCATCCAGCTGTGCTTGCAGGGCCTTGTTCTTCTCTTCACTGCTCCTCAGTTGATCTTCAACTGCAGCCATTGCATGCTCGTGCTTGCTGCTTGACTCGTCTTGTTTTGTTTCCAGCGCATCTGTGAGATGGCTCACACGTGTCTCCAACTCATGCACCCTCGCCTGTGCTCGTGCAAGCTCTGCCTGCTGCTGCTGTTGCTGTCGTCCTTGTTGTTGTTCGTGGGCGGAGGTGTTGCGGTCCTGCCTCTCCTGGTTCAGAGCGGCAGTCAAGTGCCGAATCTCCTCCTGTGCAGCGGCCAGCTCAGAGCGCAGCGCAAACACATGCGTGCCCTCATCAGCACCGAAGCTGTGCTGCTTGCTGGTGTTGCGGTCGACCTCCCCCTCCCCGCTGCTGAATGCTCCGCTCGCAGGCGCGTCAGGCCGGTGCGCTGTTGGTCGTGTGACCTCGGGCGTGACAACAACCACGCCGCCACTGCCTACACTGCCGCTGCCTCCAACACGGGCGCTCGCGCCATCATAGTCGTCGTTTGGCTTTGATGGACTGGGGCTGCCCATGCCTGGGGTGGACGCGCGTCCATCGTGCATGGCAAGCGTGCGACGACGAGACGGTGGGTTGGACTGGATGGGCGAAGGGCTGCGGGTCGTCATGGCCTGCAGCTCGGCCTCAAGCACATCAATCTCCTGCTGCACAATGCGATATCGCTGCTCCAACTCCAGCATCTCCTCTGCATCGTGCGCGGCAGTTGTGGAGTCCACAGACGAGTTGCTGTCGTCACCGCTGCTCGTGGTGATGGGCGTGGAGATGGACGATGTGTCCAGAATCTCCTGTTCCACGCGCGAGATTTCGCGGCCAATGCTCGACAGGTCTGTGCGGAGTGCATCCCGTGTGCGGTGCAGGGTGGACAGCTCCGCCTCTGCAGCTTCGAGTTGCGCGCGCAGCTGTGTCGTGCGAGCAGAGATGCTCTCAATCTCGTCGTGTGTCGTTGCCGACAGCAGTTGCTGCTGGTGCGATGTCAGCTGATTCTGTACGTCCTTCACACGCAGCTCTTGCTCCTGTACGCGCGCAGACACGCTGTCGTGCTCCTCCGAGAACCGCTTTTGCTTTGACAGCAGCGACTGAAGCTGCCGGTGCAGTGGCTGTGCCTTTGCATTTGATGACGTTGTGCCTGTCTTTGTCGTCGTTGTGTCTGATGAGGGCGAGTTGGTTGGTTTTGAGAACAAGCGCGACTCCAGCTCGCCACGGCTCTTGTGCTGTGTGTTTGTGTGTGTGTGTGTGTGTGTGTGTGTGTGTGTGTGTGTGTGTTTGTTTGTTTGTGTGTGTGTTTGTGTGTGTGTGTGTGTATGTGTGTGTGTATGTGTGTGTGTGTGTGTGTGTGTGGAAGTGGGAGTGAGCAGATGGGCAAGTCGGAGATGAAGGCGCTTGATGACTGCATAGACACCAAGAGCATCAAACCAGGAGTGACATATCCCATCACTACATCATGCGCACAACATCGCTCCACCTTCCTCCCCCCCACCCACCACTCTCGCATCCCAAATAACCCAATTGTCCCTCACCAGATGGGCAAGCTTTTCGCGAATCTCTCTGCAGCGATCCTGCAACCGTTCGATCTCTGCATTTGACGCCTCTGGGGTGTCAAACACAAATAGCTTGTACTGCTGCGATTGCTGCTGTTGTTGTTGTTGCTGTTGCTGCTGCTGTGGGTGTTTCGTTGCCGCTTGAAGCTGCAGCTGATGTTGTCGTGGGCGTGCGCGCGTTTGCGTCCGCTGCTCTTGGTGCCGGTGAATAGGGGGAGGAGGACTGACTCATGACACTCGCATTTGCTCGGGGTGGCTGCTGCTGCGTGCGATGCAGTGACAAGGCTGGGTCTTTGTTTGGCGGAAAACAACCCGTGCATTGTGATGCGGATGGTAAAGTCCAGCAGATGTGACACGACCTCCCCAAGGTCATAGCGCTGTGTCAT